TGAACAAGGCCAATTTGACATCTTTGTAATACTCATACCATTTGTCAAATGTAATCTACTAATCAAACTCAAAGCATTCATTCATGCAGGAAATTTCGTATCACTCACGCACATAAATATTTATCCCTATTCAATTATTTATAACAAATAGTTTGTTATATTACAATTAGATCCTATTATCTCTTCCTCTCTTAAGACATTTAATGTCAGACGATATATATATTATGTATGTATCGACATATAAAAATGATGATTAGCTAATGGAGAACGTCATATGATATTAAGCTCCCCACTCGTTTTATAATGCAACAAAGAATAAAAAAATACACACTTAGAGAGAAAGTGCCTTAATACGTTTCATAAAAGTCGTAGGACGACTACGAAACTGAAATGACGTCTACGTAACAACATGTATTTAAAAACGAGTGCTTGCACAATTTTACATAAAAATTGTTATAGTACTAAGACCACCTCGACTTGCACGTGCGGACGATACCTTCAAAATTAATCTATGCAAACAATTCTTGGAAAATATGCATAAAACCCTCATTCCATACACTGGGCTACGATATTCTCAAACTCAATGCAAATATATTTTTTCTTTTAATTTAACCATATTTCTCATTCAAATTACTCGGCTTCACTCGAGTGAAATTTATAGAATATTCTGTTATAGAAGCTACATTATAGTTAAGCTATATCGTTAAAATTAATTCAGTAGTTTTTTAGTGGATAAGTAACAAACATCCATCCATCCACACTCACAAACTTCTGCGTTTATAACATTAGTAAGATTTAAATCTGAGTAAGCTGTGAATAAATACATCTAATTACCATCAAACACCGGTAGCACCTGTTCGCGAGCAGTTTTAAAAGTTGCTAATTATCGAGGCATCTTTAATCAGTCTTAGACCGACGTCAGGTCTTCTTTCTAATTGTATTTACAGTTTGCAATCTTAATTTATGTCGTAAAATATTACACTCTAATACAAAATTCATATTCTCGACTTGTACTTTATACCTTTTATAACTAACAAGTACAGTAGGTGCTCCAGTGACATGAAATTTGAAATGGTCTGTGTTCATTGTACCAACCTTGTAAGATTAAGTCACTGACGAACTAAGTGATATTAATCTGCTGTACTTATTACTGGTTGTGTATTCGATATCCGCACAACTATGTATATTTACTAGTACCTATATTATGTGTAGGCTTCATGTTTTTTTAATACTCGTATTTTCTACATACCATATATATATTTATAAATGAGAGAACCTATCGTGTACTAACGTCTCTGGGAAAATAGTCTTAAAGATTTAGTCCATATTATATGTATATAAATAAATTGTCAAGTGTTACCTTCACTCTTGGCAATTTTTATGTCAGAATAATACAAATATAGTAAACAATTTCTGTAGCAAACAATTTAATTTGGATGGATAGTAATCCCTAAGCAGGTGAGTGCGGCATTTGTATTCCCGCAAAGTATTTCTTGCATTCTCGTTGAAAATAAGCAAACTTTATGCTGTTTGAGCACCAACGAGATGTTGCAATTTTAAACTTATATTAATATGAATGCGTTGGCGTGTTTTCAGAGAAATACTATAAAAATACCAAACAAACAAACTTATTGTTTGTTTGTAGGTTTTAGTTCTGTGTTTAGTTTACATAAAAATAATGAGGTACGGAATTTCACTGTATTTTTTTCTATTTAATTTTATTAGCTTTGGTCACTACGTTTTGTATTGTGTTGTAATATTTACTTCAATTCAGATAATAATGATAAATTATATTTATATTCGAACTATTCTAATGCTGTTACAATTTCACCAATGATATGGATGAATACCATCTTTTTTTTTTTTTTTTAATTTATTTTGGTACAAACAGTCATTACAATTATAATTACAAATATATATATATAGATAGTTGATAGACAACGAGTACCGAAAAGTATTTAGTAGTATTATATTAATAAGTAGTGTTGACATAATGAGCCTAGATATTAAGGTTAGAATTTTTTTTTTACATTTTATATTTTACTATAAACAGACGATACAGTAATATGAAACATAACAAAACAATTATAACATAGACAGTGAAGAAAACATAATTATTAATTATTAAGTAAACAAAGAATACCCAAGTACCTACATTACAATGTCTGGAAAGTAACTAGTACATTTAAAAAAGAAAAGACAAAATCTACAAATACATAATTATTGTGTCATTTTAGAGACAATTCAATTTTTGTATTACTTCCCCTTTGAAGGCATGCAATGAATTTGAAAAAATATCAATGTCTGAAAATTCTTTATTGTATGTGAGAAGACATCGCGAGAAGAAGTTATTACGAGTATAGTTTCGACGTGGACGAATCTTCTATAATACATTATATGTTATTAACTATAGATATACGTATATAGTATTACTGATTCTGTCCCTAGTATCCAAACTTATTTAATCAAACTACTCGTGGTTCTTTTTGAAAGTTGACAAAAAAACTTCTTCTCACTGAGAGAGGATTGAAAATTTAATTATGTCTACGCCAGTACTAAGCGTATAGTAATATGAAAGCAATACGGATAAGGCCTTTGATAGTTGGTTTTCTTTTAAGATTCCGTAAAGAAACTTAAAGAAAGTAGAAAAAAGTTTAACGTGCACTCAGGAGATTTTTCTAAAGTGAAAATAGGAATTTGTTCTGTATTTTTTTTTGTGATGCCTCAGCACTTCCACGAAGCTGACTGTACTTTCCTCTTCGTGTACACATAGCTTGTCTCCCAACGGTACAGGAATTACTTTATGCCCCACAATACAAGTTTGCATGAATAGGGCTTATGTCAAATGGACATTTGCATTAGAAAGAAAATTGATTTATCATACAAAGCTTTGAACCGAGCGTACTACGACACTCTACGTGTACCCATCTGTTGTCGATGTATATAACTAGGTAGTATTTAATACTAGCTGTCAGCCACAGCTTCGTTTGAATAATATAAAAATAGTACCTTATTATTGTAATTAAATCAATTATATTTAGTTTTTTTCTATATCTTATCTATAGTTCGTATATCAGGCATATCTTATTAGTCGTAAATTGTCCGTATTTTACTGTCCTTGTCCGTCATTATTATAGTCAGCAAGCAATATTGTCCAAAAATCAACTCTATCTACATGCCTAAAATTAATTAGCAGTGGTAAAACACTAACAAATGGGCCAATGATGCTGTAATGAACATACTTATTATATATAATGAAATAAATAAAATAAATAAAAATAAATATGTAATGAACATATTTATTTTTATTTACCATTCGTGAGGTTAGGTCTGCACTCTCTGGTACACAGTTGTATTGAATTGGATGGGTACCTCCAGCTTACCTATTTCAGCTGCTAAGCAGCTTACTTGGAAATATGTGATCCGTTGAAGGTCAGTAAGACTGTGACATTACTGGATACTATGGTATGGCATTTGGTTTTCCGGAATGGAAATGTATGCGTGGTATCACGTCACAAAGTAACGTGGTGATGTTGATATATGTACAGGGGCGAATATTTTAATAAATAAATGACGGTTACCCTTATCAGAAGCTGGGTAAACGTCTAGACTGCTAAATATCTTTGTTTACCACTAAATTATCACTGTTAAGGCACTAATAACTATAAATTGGATAAAACCCGGTGGACAATCATCTTATTTGCCATTCTGATTACTAAAAATAAGATATTTCAACGTAAAACGTCTTCGTGTTGTATAAAATAAGAAAATAAGATGACAAGGAACTCTTCAATTTACGTTTCAAATGTTAGTACAGATTAAACCGTACATTAAATACGCATGTGCTCTCGACAGATATTGAATGTATTACCTCGGGAAAGTGTTGACCATTAAAAATGTTAAATCAAATTGAACCTGAACAAGCAAATCAAATTACGTTCAGGTACGTACTTTAGGTTGCCATGCTACTTGTATGGCAGTGTCGTATACGTTATTTAAGTATCGGCTGGTTTAAAAATTTTTAGAAGAATTATTTTTAGAAGAGACATTCTCAGACTATTTGAAACATATAAACATGTACTGGTGGTGTTTAGAATAATCAATGGAATATGTTTAGTAAATGTATACCGAGTAGAAAATTATTTTTCTGCTTATTTTATCTTTCGATACCAAACATTTGTTTCAGTGAGTATATTATGTATATGTATCATCATTGCCTTACCTTCATCCCAATTCTTAGTATCGGTGACTGTATATTATGTCTTCTAACTATATTATGTATTATATTTACAAAAACTTGTATTTAAGTATTCAAAAAATTTAACATTTGTTCAGTATCCATAGTACAAGGTCTGCTTATTTGGTAACAGAAGACGTTTTGTGAATTGCCCTAAGTTGTTATTATCTTTAAAGCCACTTTATCATCCACAAAATTATAATATATATCTTATAAAATATATTGTAATTTTTTAGAGAATAAACTAACACATAAGATGGTTAGATTAATAAGTTACTAATATTATGGACCAGAACAGTGTAAGTTGCGGCTTTATAAGTAGAAACCTTGGAAGTGTTGTGGCGAGTAAGTAAACAGCTGCATACAGTTTGGTATATTGTTGCATACAGCCTCTATGGAATTAATAAATTATATTGGAAAATCATAATTATAGGGAAACTACAGCGTAAGGAAACAATGTTTCAATACTTTTTTTTATTAAGTAATAATACGAACGAAACTAGGTTCTAAACTAACTAAATTAACTAAACTAAATTCCAAACAACCTTCACAAATATACTAGCATTATTGTTGTCACTCAAAATCTTTATTAGACTAAATTTCTTTATACATACAAAAGATTATTAATGGTATAAAAATACTAAATATGAACTATATGCGGTTAGTGCATCAGCAATATGCATTTAAAATATTCAACCTCATTATTCCATTTAAAACATGATAAACAACAACAACATTATTGTAACTAAGTAACGATAAATCTGCCAAACCTGACCTACATACAACAGACAATATTTTACATAATATGTATTTTTAAAACACAATTTTTCCTTTTTATTTTGTTAAATATATTTATTGAAATATGGCTATGGCTGAGAAGAAAAACGAGTACCCGCCGGGCGTCGAGGCAGACAGGAGGCTACTGTCTTTCGACACCTGGGAGGATTATTTAGATTCTCTTATTGAAATTGCCGATCTGCGTAATCTCAGGAGTATTACTACGGCCAGAACAATAGCAGCGTTTGGTTACAGGTATTGTGTATAAATAAATTAGAATATTATACTACTAATCGACTACAATCATCAAAAAAAATTAAGAAGTAAATCATCTAATGATATGTATATGCTGCTGTGACTATCGTCATTGTTTCTTGTGTTGTAATATATTTATTACAATTCTATTCTATTAGAATAGAATAGAATAATATTAATTTTTAATAATTCATATTTATCAATGTTTGTAACCTTCCAAACGGCTTGACCGATTCTTATGGAATTTTGTGTGTATATTCATTCAGAAGAGCTAAGAATGTGACGTAAAGAAGGACGTAAACGTAGGATAAACATTTATATATTCTTCTTTATACAACCTCTTCTTTCATGATTCGGAATAAAAAAATATAAGATAGAAGATTCTATAATCTTAAATTTTCTTGCTACCATCATCAACCACTACTTTCTAATAGCGATAATAATGTATAGTATATACTAAAAAATATAATAACATATAATAGGAATATTTGTCCAGAAATAACGACAATATTGCATAATGCGTAACGTGTAGCGAAAATCTTACAATACTATAACTCTAATAAAGCTTTGTTAAGAAGAAACAAAGCTTTATTAGAGTAGGCATATCGATCACATATTAATATTATACACGCTAGAATGGCTTAGGAAATTAGGATAAGTTTAATCTTAGGGTAACACGATGTAATTTTATCCTCGTGATAGGTTAATGGTATAATGGATACGTGGGATAATTTACAATCAAAGTTCTAACAGTTAACAATCCTTAATATTGATTTCTTCTTAATTTATGTTCTATTTATTAGAACTACCTTTTTTTGGACGTTAACTAACTTTAATTTAGGGATTATATTAAGTGATTAAAAGGCAAAGCTTGTTGACGGCTTACCGTCCGTCCGTCCGTACCGTAAGCAGTAACCCTCGCCTGTATATATGAACAGCACTACTGTCATCACGATATCATTACTTCACAGATATATACAGATATCACTAATATCTAAGGTGTCACAACCTGAGATACTACCACTAATCCGTTACCATTACAAAGGATTGAGGTGTAATAATTCTTATCCTGTTATTTCACTACCTAATCGTACCCTAGAACTGAATAGCTTACATAACCAACTGAAATAGGTGAGACTAAGGAACCTACGCAGACAACTTTTACAGTCTACCTCACTACTTATTAACAAAACTATTTATTTAATAATTCGCTGTTTGAATCTCCAAACTGCGAGTTATAATTTTCTAGCAGACATCAGTTATACTATGACATATTGCCATTCTAAAGTGAAAAGTTGTTGCGAGATTAAATTTAATATTTTATAAACTCTTGTGGTTCTTTATTGCCACTATATAACTTTCTAGAGCATATGGTGATACATTAAGTGAGAAGGAGTTTTATTCTCGTCGTGCTGTCATACACGCTATCGTGTTCCCCGTTGTCAAACCTTATACTTTGGCCAGCGACGGAGCAGATTTAGAAGATCCATTTAATAGGGAATTGGCAGTGCGAGAAAGAGCTAATAGAATTGGAATTTTGCAGGTGAAAATGTTATGTACTTGTTGTAGTTCTAATTTTTTCCGCAATTGTTAATACTTATACAATAAGAAATAGGCTATGTAACATACGTAACCTTCTTTGAGACACAATACCGATCTATAATAAAAAAGTCCTGGACGTAAGAAACACGCATTTTTTTCTACAAGTAATCTAGTTGTATAAAAAATAACAAGCTGTTGGCCCACGTTATCTGGATAACAGTACCTACATGGACAGCATCATGTCAGCGTATGATAGTAGTGGACAAACGTGTCATGCTTCCGTATCTATAATTGTACTATAATTCAATCACAGACGACTTTCTGCAAAATTTAGCTGTGTAAAAACGTATCCTACTACGAATTTTAATTTCTAGTTACAAAATTGTATATTTTGTAGAATTATTTCTCCGAGTTCGACTCTTGCAATTATTTTCTGCAAGTGACCAAAGCGGACATCAGACAATGTCTGTAGTATATAAATTCATATACATAAATAAATAATTTCAGAACAATTCACACAGTGCCATCTAGACCCAAGTTAAGTTAGATAAAGCTTGTGTTATAGGTACTAGAGATCTGATACAAATACATTTTTTTTTAAACACATACATATTATACATAGAAAAACAACCAGACCGATATAAACAATCAGATATCCGTAATAATAACTAATGTTCATATTTACAGTAGCACATACAGTTTTTATTATTTATTATTCCAGACAATCATATTCATTAGACATTTCACAAAAGGCGGCTTCGAAATATCCGGTTATATAGATTACGCCCACAAGCTTATATCGGAAAACTGGACCATGTTCTTTAAATCTAACAAAATGTTATGGCCTAAAGATAACGATTTGGGGTACTACCACTGGCGTCATGGCACTGTAAGGAGTAATATAAGTAGAAATTACAAGGTAAAAACTATTCAAGTTAAGCTAAAAACAACTGATTAAATTTAGAATCGTTCGTACAAAAAAAATTATCGAACGTTGTTACTTGGTAATTATATATGCCTAATATTTAGAGGTATTTTTGAGATTTTGCAGAATTTTATAGAATAGTTTTAGCTATTCTGTTGATATGGAGAATATTTTATTTCAATGTTAGAGTACCTACAGCCGAAATATTTAATATAAATCGTAACATCATACGCTTCACTCGAATCGATGTATTCGGCAACAATGTCGATAACGAGTATCCAAAAGTTTCGTTTGAATTTCTACATAGTTCTCTGGTGGTGTTCCGGAAATTATTACTATTACATATTCTCTGCTTAAACAATTACAAAATGTCTGTTTGTCTATGAACTTTTACGTAAAACGCCATTTAATAATAATTTTATAATAATAATTTATTTATTTGCTTGCTACATGGTAATTTATTAATGTCATATTTCATTGTCATGTAGTAATGAAAACGACCTACTAATGTAGAAGTCTATTATTAATTGCAAATTCATAAGCAGACCTTCTATTCTTGTATTTTTCTCAATTGTAGCCTTTAATGGACCCAGATAAAGGACTTCTTTTCCAAAACCGCCATGATCATAAAATAATTTGTCCAGACCCACAACAGGATCCTGGACAAAATACAACAAAACAGAGAATTTATTCGCCGAGGTACGCACAAGTTGAAATTTACGATCATGTCGTTCGTAGAAAAAGTTAAAAGTTTTTAAATACTATATAGTGAATCTGTTTCAAATATGAGAATTATATCATTGTATGATGCAATTCTGTTATATTAATATTTTGATATATTTTTTTATATTATTTATTACGGAAGAAAAAGATAAACGTGATTATAAAATGTCTTTAATTAGTCTTTATTATTTTACTTATTACCTATTAAAACACTGAACTAATATTATAACTATATACTAATTTGTATGATCTTTAATTATTTATTCAATCCAAAATTATATACTTTTTACATAAAAATGTGTTCTTGGAAATCTAACTAACTTGAATTGTATCTATCTCTGAATATAAGTTTTATGCGTGACTGGCTATATCTTCACGATGAAATATCGTATACATTATTATTTTTCCAAATTCTATAAAATAGGTATCATTATGAAACGGCTTTTAATAAAGATTTATTAAATATGTTTAATAAATTGCTTTCTGATTTATTGAGTTCTTTGTTTATTTATTTCACTAATTATTATTAGAGATAGCATTGAAATAATAGTTGATGCTAATTTTATTATCAGTATCAAAGCATTTATAAAATAATCTAATTCTAATTAACTAAAAATAAATAAAAATATCTGGCATTTATTTTTGAAGTAAGAAACATTTTAATAGAAAGTATACTTATGCATATTATAGTCATTGGTAATAGTGTATGCACATTCTATTTAGAATGTTAACAAAATAAAAAAGTTGGTGCTTCTTGATGCAATATTATATGCATTGTGATTATTACTGAGATTGAATGGATTCCTGGCGAGTTCTCTTGGCAATGTCTCGTGATGCGCTCTGTACTTGGGCCGTTCTAAGTGTTATACCGAATATGTCTTCGTGATATCTGTTTTCGTCCTGAAATAATATGAGAATAGATTTTTTTTTAGGGTTTTTAGTTCCATTTAAATTAATAATTAAATATTATTGTCATGCAGTATCTTTCAACAAGTATAAGTCTAATTTGCAAATTCTTGATTTATAAGTTTAGAGAATTTCAAATAATTTCAAAATAGGTTTTGATTAAAACATAGTTAATTTACAGTATCAGAGTAACATACCATTAGCTCAAGCATGAAATCATCTACTTCCTCGTCCGACATTTTGGCTTGTTCCTTTATAATTGATTTTAATTTTTGTTGTACTTCTTCTGCCATTTTACAATCACCACAAACGTAAAAGTGTCCATCTTCATCTAATAATAACCTTGTGACTTCAGCACCTTCATCTTCTAAGAGTTGTTGAACATGTTTCTGAAAAGTAATTATGTTTTGTATATATATTTATTATATAATACTATACTCGTAAATAGTTTAGAAAATCTAATTGCTCTTATTTATATTACTTACTCTGTCTACATCTTGTTCCCTTGATAAAGCTACCATTGTTTTAGTAAGAACTCCCTGTTCTAAGGCTTCCTTTTTTTCTTCTTTATACAAGTCCATTCCTCTGTTTCTACAGCCAAAAAATAATAAAATAGGACCCAATTCTTTTTCATGTTTATTCTCCTTGAGATTCTTTATCTCTTCTCTTCGATGATTCCAGAAACTTCTGAACGGTGCAATACCTGATCCAGGACCAACCAATATAAGAGGAACTGATAAGTCTTTAGGCATATGGAAGTTAGGAGCACTGTAAATGAAACACAAAGAGTATTTTAATATGAATTGCTCGATGTTTAACGTTAGTCACTTTAAAACTAAACAAAAATACACTACCGTCTAATAAAAATGAATACTTCGTCATCTGGCTTCAAACTTTTCAAATAAGTTGAACATACGCCGTAATGTACTGGTCCTTGATCATCTGAAAATGACAGAAATATAATATTTAATACTCGGAACCTTCTGTGATATCAGTGTAATAATGAGTATAGTCTAGTATATGAATACATTGCCTTGCTATTTTACTTAAATGACAATTTTATTTCGGTTATCTTTCATGCATTTTAACGATAATCATTTTCTAAAATAAAATGCGTATACTGGAATGAATACTTATGTTTCATAAAAATAAACGTCACTTACTTTGACTTTTGTAGACAACTATAGCTACAGTAATATGAACTCTTGGGTGATGTGCTAACGGAGATGACGATATAGAATAAAATCTAGGTTGCAATGGTGGTAACAAGGCTGCTAATAATGAAGCTTGAGGTCGACATGAAGGAAACTGTTCCAAAACTTCTGCTAAATGAGGATAGTAGAAATGTCTCCAATCATCGTATGCAAATGAATCCTGCAATAAAATTTAATTCAGAAACACTTCTACTGTTTATAGTAATAGATCTTATTATATTTACGTTTATAAAATAAAAACAAATATATCTTACTTAATAAATGAAAACTCAAAAAAATGAAAAATCTTTTCACAGACTATTAAAATAAATAAAATGTTCGTACCGTAGCCAATTTACTAATGTTCTCTTCATCAGCTTTATTGCTACAACATTTTGCAAGGTACTTTAGGACTGTAGTTGTAGGCGGTGTCGTAATGTCCAAAAACCGAGTGAATATATCTCTTATTGTAGCTGTCGATATACGTTCATGTCTTTCCCATGTTTTTATAGCACCTGATAAATATTTAGTAACATATAATCGCATATTTAACAAATAAAAATTGTATTTAATGTCAGACTACAATTAATATTACACAAACTATTAATAATACACAACCAGGGTGACTAGGATGAACCAGTTAATATTGTACATTTCCTAAACAGATTTTAAAATAATTAATAAGGTTAGTAATGAATAGTTTTCATAGTTACCTGTGGGTGTGAGTGTTTCCTTCATAACTTGTAACTGTACAGATTTATCATAGTCTTCAATATCTTTTAGCCTTTCTAATACAGCATCAACTATTTCTTTCCGATTACACGCCATTATACCAACGTGGTCTCCAGGTTCATATTTTAATTCAATCTATAAATCAATTATATTATTTTTAATTTGTACACAGTATAAAAATAAATTGTTAGTAATATTTATTAGACAAACAGTAAACTCTTCAGAGTTGATTTTGATAATTTCACCCACCTCTGGTTCCATATCAACAAAAATAGTTGCACGATCTGATGTATAGTCGCCTAATAATTTATTATTCTTAATTTTACACGCAACTAACTGTTTTCTAAAGCTTGTTTCAAGTGCATTCTTTATTGTAATGTCAGGGGTTGGTTTTCCAAATCGCACTGTTTCTTCACCTAAAGGTAGTGCAGTTAAAGCTTTCTTTGCATCTTTTATCATTTCATTTTCATCCAAACAGAACGTTTCGCAAGCAACCTGTATTTTTAAATAAATATAATTATTTCTATATGAAGTAAACAATTTATTTTTGTATTTATTACTAACTAAGCGCCGACCCCAAATAATGGGATAAAGGCAAGGCAATGATGATGATTATAACTAACTTACGTGGAAAATATTTGATGACCAATTTCGAAACTGTTGTTCCTGTCCATACATTTCATCTCCACAGGCCAATTCCAGAATTCTTTCTCCTCCGAGATCACCAAGTATTTTATCTATATTTTTACCAAAGTTACAAAACTTTGGATAGGTACTAGATCCTAGTGCAAACACTGCGAAACACACATTACTGAGTGGCCCTATTTGATCTACTGTTGACGATTCTGCAATACTACCTGACAACAAAATAAAAATGACGTAAGCTGAACATTATGAAATTTATTAAATTAATACACAGTTATATAAAAATAATAAAATAAAATAATACATTTTATTTTATTTTATTTTATTATTTTTTTGGAATCTGACTTTTACCAATATAGCCATGACTTTCAATATATTTCTAAATTAATTCTTAATAATTCCTTGATTGTAACATAGTACAGCAATTACATTCTTAATTTAAACGTGCCAACATTCAATTCTCGATCTCTGCCAAATCTCAAGCTGTTTGGCTCTGCAACTATGTGACAGACAGACAGACAGATTGTGTAGTAAAATTGAAGTACACAATTGCTTTAAACGTAGGTTAGGAAGATAATTAACAAAAATACATTAATAGTAAAAATAAAAATTAGAAGGCATATTATATGAAGGACACATGAAAATAATGTAGAAACAAAAACTACAATAAATTAATGATAAGCTCATTAACAATTACTCCGGACCAAAAGAATAACAGAACAAATTCCACTTATTATGAAAGTTTGCAAGCAATTAATAATTTTCTAAATTTACTTTCCATAAGTAGGGAGCCGCTTAAAAGGTTAGCACGAAATAGTCAAACCAACATCAAAGCTTAAAAGCATTGATTCAATTATAACATTTAAACCACTTATGCACGACCATTTTGTGTAACTACATTACTTTGTAGTTACATCTACTAGTTATTTTAAATGAGTTTAAGAGACAGACTTACTTTTATTAGATTCTAAACGTGAAATCTGTTTCTTAAAATCGGTGTTAGGTGCCATTAAACTATTTGTCCTCATTAATGATTTCGGTGTTGGAAGTTTGTAGTTTCTGTAAAAGATGTAAATAATATAGGACTAAAAACGTACAAGATATATAAAGATAGCATCACAACGGCATTAAGCGAATAAATAAATACTTACCCAGAACTAAATACATCATTTGCATCTTCTTGGTTTTTCCTTTCATTATACAACATTTGGAAGAGATGTTTAGCAAAATCCTGTTTAATAAAAATAAGTATTAGTACATTATGTTATCTTATTATAGATATATTAATTATTCTATACATATTAAACTTATTTCTCACATAAGTAAATCGTTATGTCGAGCATACAAACTAATACAACATATAAACATATACTATATATAACAACGAGTAACTATAATATACTATACTATCTCTTATGTAATCATACAGTAGAGCTATTCTGTAAGCATCACTTATGAATCCGAAAGCGTAATCCGTGGTGAGATTGTACATTGGTTTTCTGTAAAACTTGATAGCGACTGCAGTGCCACACGCTCAATAGCGGGATGGAGGTAAACCAGACACTTGATTGATTGAGTGATTTTTTTTAAATATAGACAATCTCGATAACTCTGTAGGAACTTTATATTTGACAGGTTATAAGAGTGCCTTGATTGAAGCGATGAGTGAAATAAGTAGACAAAACGTTTACAGAATAGCAATAGAGGGCCTTATAATTTTAAATTATTTGGCAAATTTATTAATATTAATTCAATATATGTCTATTAAATATAATTGTTAGAATATTGTAAACAAATACCCACCTCTCCATTAGCTGGGGGTTCACCATTGCCAAATGTTGATGTTACAATCAAGACTAGAGTTTCGTGTTCTATAGAAAACACATCGTAATCTGACATGCAATGGACCTGTTAAATGAAATGTTGTATAGTAAACTACTAGTACGATCTAATATATGATCTATTACTATAGTTATAGCGCATGATTAATAAATTTATTATTAAAGCTGGATTGTAAGACTTGCATTATAAATGTTACAAGATAAGTAAAAAGATAAAATTGTAATTATACAAAATATTCAATAAAATGTTCCGTATTTGCATAACTAAATTTGGACAAGATGTACCTTGGTGCCATATTGTTCAAATTAAGTTATTGTTCAAGATATACATATATATGTACCTGCGCATTGAAAGCATGTCCAAATATAGTTCCTAACTCATTGGCATACTGTTCAGATTTGCCCGTTTCGGTAGCGTATAGAATGGTAGCTTTGATGCGCTTAGAGAGAGCTCGGCCAAACAATTTGGAAGTAAACTTCACAGCTCTCGCAATCTGCTTGAAGTGGAATTTTCTATGAACAGTCTTGTTGCCTTCAGTCTTGCTCCATTTGTGTGTCTTCCATGCGGGTTCCTTGAAGCGTATCAGTTTTAGTTAAAAATTATTTCAAATTATGTTAATATAATAATTAATTTTGAAATATTAATAACTGCTTATATAATATTAAGACTTATTTAAAATATGAGTTAATTTACGACTTGCCTATTTCTTGTACCGAAGAAAGAAAGAAAATATTATAAAGAATTTTCATTGACGGAAAATTGTCAACTATATACATACTTCATATTGATTTGATAACACATCATTTAAAAATAGTATTTTTAGGGAAATAGTTGTAAAACATAAACAATGCACATAATTATTTACCTCTACGTCCATGTAATCATTTCAGTTGAAGTAAGTATTTTAGTAGTATTTCATTTTTTTAAAACAGTAAATATGTGTACATTTTATTGAAGAAACGATGAAATTCACAGAAGTATAAAACTGTGTTGCGAATATCCAGTTGAAAACAAGCAACGATTTACTTTGGTATACAATAACAATTATAATAAAAGAATAAAAAAAATTATATATATATGTATAGTATGTTAAGCTCTTTTAAACATTATTTTTATTCTAAAATTCTCGAAGCTATATATATACATATATATATATATATATATATAGCTTCGAGCATACTAGTGCTAACATGTTTAATAGCTTCCTAATATTGCTATGCTCATTAGCTTACTAAAGTGAACTAAAGTGGTCTCCGATCTCGAAATCCGTCGTATTCAATTCAATTTTTTTTACATGTTTTGTACGTTATTATGTATAATAACTTACTTGATAATCGTATGAAGGTCTTATGTTATATAGAGCCATTTCTTGATGAAAAACTGCAGTCAGAGAAGAAGACATTGGAGGTACTATCCAAATCCAGTCAGCAGGACAGCCGCCCCTAAACATTTACAACAATTTTGAGTGTTTTTTTTTTGACAATTTTTTTTTCTCGATTTTTGTTAATATTACTACTCAATATTTTTTTTATAAAATATTAAGTAGTAATCTATCCTATGACGTAATAGTAGTAATATATCCATTACTGACGTTATTATTTTACAAAACATAATATTTCATAATTTCTATATAAAAATTATATCAATTTTGGCAAAGTAAATTTTGCCGTCTGCTTGTATTCCCTATTTTAGCTGCAAAGCAGCTTTGAAGTATTGCAGAATACAGGGCCATGACATTTTCGTCCTACGGTATAGAAACACATTTAGATAGACGATCGATCCCGTACCATGAGATGGGCCGTCAGCTTATTTTCTATTTCAGTTATAAAAAATACAGATATCTCAATCGAAATAACGGTGATTAAAAATAAACAAACCTGCTTCTATTTTCATTGTCCAAATGTTTTATAAATTGTTCAGACGCAGAATGGTGGTCCACTATTGACACATTATCTCTGTGGTAACTGTGGAGTACCGCGATATTTACTTCAACCAGAGCACTGTCCTTCCAAAGGGATACGTATGAATTTGTGTCTAAACCCATTTTTGTTGCTACAGTCTGTGAATAGAAAATATAAAAAGGCACTATTAAATTAAGTTAAATTTTAAACACTTTTGAATGTCTCTTTTCGTTCTTTACAATTGTACACGTGGTATAAACTGAATATTTACTTATTTAGTAACAGCCTCGAAATAATGAGACCTCATAAATATTATTATCACGTTCTATCATTTATATAATGTGTACAACATTTTTTTTTATTCTTTAGTCATATTTAATTCTTTCATTGCAATAAAGTTAAATGGAGAAGTTTGGGCAAATAACCCGGTATTTATTATTTCAATAAAATAATATTTTATAAATTAAAAGATCTTATTAATTTTTGACCAAATCGCCATATATATAGAGAAAAAGGCGAACATACATATATTGACCGAATCTTAAGATCGCCACTAGTGCGTGATAAATAGTCACATCACGTACTAGTTAGTTTTGACAGTAGGTAGCTTACTTTGAATTGTATATAAAACATAAAATAACCGTACCTCAATTATATTTAAGCGGTTAGCATCACTTAAATTGCGACAACCGATCTCTGTACCCATGTACCAGCCATTAAAAGCCGTCCCTGTGAATTCGAGACCTCCACAGTCCAGTCTCATATTGGAAACGGCAGGCAGTGCATACCACCGTAAGCCCAGTTCTTTGAACCAGTCAAATCTACAAAAAAAAAAAAACAGTTTTAACGATAGTAAAAAAAAACAAAAAATATTTTTCATGTAAACAAAAATGGCGGATATTGTACAAAATTAATACGAGGACATTCGATACAAAATCGATTAAAACTAAAAAAATCACAATATAAAAAATATACAGTATTCCGAGTTTTCTATATTTTCAATTCGTTTGAAAAACTACTCTAAAAAGTCAATTAAAAAAGCTAAGGAATAAAATGGTAAATGTTTTGGAATTCATTGACCATCTCAGAATCATGTCAAAAATTAATGAACATGGGTAGTTTTCATTGTAATATTAGACAGTCCAATTATCTGACATAATAAAAAATACCTACAAATTCATATAAGAACCAACAGAACGGATATACTAACAATAATGATATAATACATTGAGGTATTATGTACAAATATACCGAGGACATACCCCATTTAAACTTCTATGTATGTAGAGAAAACAATGAAAAGTATTAATTTGCATTATCTTACATTATTTTCTCGTATTTGTCCAGTGGGTATACATTATTTTATTAATATAGTAATCAATTTTATATCTCTAACAAATTAAATACCTTCATTAGCATATCCGGAGTATATTACGGCTACAAGGCAATACTTGATTATGTCTCCACTAACAGATTGTACATAATACCTAAATGTATAATAAGTATATAATATACGAGTACTATAAGATAATATTATTTCCGTTATTATACAATTCTATAATTGGTAGAATATAATAAGCTTAAATTTAATAATATTATAAACACGAAGTTTGTGAATGTGGATGTTTGTTACTCTATCACGCAAAAACTATTGAATGGATTTTGATACAACTTTACTGTAATATAGCTTATGCATCAGAATAATATATAGACTATATTTTTTATTGAAATTTAATGCGGGTAAAATCTCGGGCACAACTACTATAACATTAGGTTATTTCCGTTATTATAAAATTCTATAATTAATAGAATAGAATAGTTAATACGATTATAATTCACCTAATATTCGATTTTTGATCTTGTAATTTGTGTATTTACCTCGGATGTTCCATTTTCACTTCCATAATAATTTCCCGGGGAATTTCGAAGTATTCAGGATCTTTGCCATCTGCTGACAGTACTAGAGGCAATATGTCCCATGCAGTACGAGGTGGCTTCCATCCAAGCCTGATGCAAATCTGTACAATGTAAGACGGCCATTCGAGTAAATTGCTGTTAACTTTACATATACAGATTGTTAATATTGTAACTTAACAACTTGTCTATTAATTGTCGATGTAAATGCAATTATATAGAAGTAACATTAAATTAGAAATAGACCCTCGTTCGGACCATGTTTCTAGTAAAGCTAGTTGGGAATAAGTAAAAAAATTAAAGAGATTTCAACCTGATATATACCCATTCAGTATTTATTTTATGATGACTAATAAGTAGACAGACATGAACTCTAAAAACAAATTATATAGCTTTTAAAGCCTAACTTTTAGTATCTTAGCTAATTTATAAAAAAACAAAATTATAATAAATGAATTTGAATTGCAAAATACTTTATTGAAAGTACATGTTAACAAAAGTATGTATATAAGTACATAATAAAAACTTAACCCATTCGTCAAGTTAAGTTGTCTGAATTTGTTTTTATGTTCACTTAATTAGTGTAAAATAATATTAAAGTAATAGTGTACGTACCTCAGTAAATTCAATTCGAGCTGGATCTCCCAACACAGTCTCACCATCTGGCTCCAAATATCCAGCATAGCTGATTAGTTGCGGATTCCATATCCTATAGTCATGCTTGCCGTCTGTACGTTGCGGGAATATTGTTATTGCTGACCTAAATTTAATTAAAAACATTATTATAATGATTGCAGTCATGGAACGCAGATGTCTCCGTTTTAATTTCAGAATAAAGACCATTTTCTTAAATGTTATTATTATTAAGAGTAACTTTAAAGCGTCTATGGAAGGCGCCATTTGGCACTCGATCTGTCGGAGTATCGGATTAAAATCGAAGTTCTCTACGTACAAATATTCAAATTAGCGATATTACAATGAGATGAGGCGATCTGAATCAACATCAATATATAAGTCCAACTATGTCCGACATATACCGTCAGATATTGAATATGAACGCGATTGGGAAAAAAAGGGAGAAGAAGATCAAAGAATGTCTATTCTTTGCTCTTCTTTTCCCGGGCTGATAGGAATAAAATTGTAGAATTGGGAATATAATCCTTTTGGTAGTCGGTTGTTATAACGATCAGTAAGTTAAATTGTGTATTGATGCTAGGTAAATAATGATACGAATTAAGTATTTAAATTGTATTCAAATTAGATGAGACGTTTTAGTCAGATTGAGTACTTAAATAACATGCAAACACTTTTACAGACCTCCAAATCTTATTAGTGGAATAAACATTTAAAAAGACAACATGATTCATATGCAGGCATTTACAGATACAATGATATGGACTTTAAGTTTTTCGTTGTGAAACTTTTTACTTTTTGCTAACAAAGTCTAAAATATTTTTATATTTTTTAATTCGTGTACCCGACGATTAACTATATTAATAATGTAACAACATAAACACAAATTTAATTCTCTTTTATAAGATGTATCTTTTTTCGCGAGATATTAGTGGAGTTTGTAACAAAATTATCTTCGTCTAAACCTCATTTAGATCCTGACTACAGTTGAAACGTCTGCTTAATATGACATTAGAAACGTGGGATGTACTTATTATTGGATTCTGACTTGGAATATTATTAAAACTAATAAAAAATGCAGTTAATTATGGAATTTTTTGGTCCTCTGCAAATTTAAAATAAGCTATAAATACAAAATAATAAATTAAAAGATTCTGAATAATAAATATTTACCCTGACTTTTAACGTCGAATCTAAGTTCTTACCTTATATTTCCTTTATTTGTGGCGTATTTAATGTGATTACAGAGAGCTTCAAACATTCCACTGGCAGTTGTTACTTCTCTGCAATCGAATATCTAAAAAGAGGAATAAAATGTGAGTGTATTCATTCTATTACTAACATATTAAAAACTTCGGTGGCACACCGCTTTAGTTCCGATTGTCGCGGGTTCGATACCTCGCACGATGCAAACATTTGTATTCATAGGTATAATTGTTCGTATTGGTCATAGTGTTTTCTATGTATATTATGTCCTAACATGAATTCTTTCACTCAAATTCATTTTACGAGATAATGGTTTTTGCTTCATTTTATTATGACCGGCCGCGCGTCGGCTCGATACCAACAATCTTTAGGCTTCTATATATGTATATTATGTATTTAAAAAATATATGAGTATTTGTATCAGTTGTGTAGTATATTAAGTTAGCTAAATAGGCTAAATATATGCCTAATACAAATACATTATGGTATAGGCTTAATGCCATCCCGTTTATATCTCGTTATAAAGTTGGTAAATTTAGCTTTGCAGCCCTAATTAAAAGTTATATGTGACTCTTTGCGGTAAGAAATATCCTAAACAAGTTTAAAATACTCGTTATCCACTGATTGACGAGCTAGGAGATAGGTATTTCGTAGATGTATCTTAGTAAGTTTAGTAGAAAAGGAATAAAATCAACACACACTTATTACAGGAATTATTTAAGTATTCATTTAATTTCCGTTCCGTTCATTTTTTCCTATTTAAGGTATTTTCCTTAGATTTGGTTAATCATTTACATTTACAGTTTCACTTTTAAATAAGGTTAGTAATAGATTTTTATTTTTTATTTCTATACTATAAGAATTCATTAAAACTTCTTATTACTGGTCACCGATCATTGTCTACTATTACGAGTACTAGAAGTATTGACCTACTTAATACCATGCAAGCTAAGTGCCTTATTCTAATATAGCCTTATATTTGAATGTAGTATTACGACATATATTTAGTTATTTCTTATACTTTAAGTATATACTGCAATTTATATGACATGAAAGAAAATATCAACTTTATTTATTGACGTTATGGTAGTAAATTCTATCAGATAATTTAAGAACTGACTATTTAGTAATAGTTATGTTTGGAATATTTTTTGTGCCATTATATACCAATTGCAATTTATACCAGATGTTCACATGCTCGTGCATTCCGCAGAAGCTTCATCATTAAAACAAAAAAGAAGAGACATTGGTCATCAAATGCGTAAGAAAAAATTAAAGTATAATACAACTCAATGCTGATGGTAATAAAGCAAAGCGTTTTTCTGCTAAGTAGTGGATTATAGGACTATCCCACAAGTCACACATGCCAAAAATTAAATAAACCCTTCACCCTTTAGCGGTTCGTAGCCGTTTGTGCGTCGACTTTTGATAGGTCAACAGTTGCGTAAACTTTCTGTATGTAGTGTAATTTTACATTTACTAGCCTCAATACCTACGACTTCCATGCCCGTCTGCGTAATTGGGGCTTGTTGATTGTGGTAACCCTCACCTTTACGAATATATACGTATATATTGCTAAATATTTTATCCTTAAAGTAAAGCAACTGAGAAGTAACCTAATTATAGAAATACACTATATCTCCAAGTAAACTATTCTTATTCTGTTTCATTCTGTTACCCTTCATCCCTTTTAGCTTGTTACTAACTGCGTATTGCATAATTCATATTTTTATTTCTTGTGCATTTATATATAATATATATGTAATTAGTATGTGTTAATTATTATTATTATACCTTTATTTTCCTACTTCATTCTGTCTTCTCTCCTATACCCAAAGAAAAAGTTTGCTTATGCGATAAGACCGCATAAGTATCTCATTACTCTAAATTTATGCTCTTTGTAATTTACTTCCGGTGCAATAAAGAATTGCAAAAATACTGCTTACGGAATACACCAACAGAAAACACTTTCCTAGAATTTTACTCTGATAATATAAATGTAAATAATAAAATTTCCATACAAATATTCCGTGTGATGACAGAATAAGAATACAGTATATCAACCACTCAATTTTAATACAAGAGAAGGAAAACTCAGAATTAAACACTATCAGCGCCAGACCACCATGGTAATAGTAGGTTAAATCCTTTTATAAGGAAAGACCCGCGTTCGTCAATTGAATGTCATTAATAATAATCAGTCTATTAAAGATTTTTATAAAATAATACAAATAATGTATCTGTGGTCACGAAAATTGAGTCACGATTAGCTAAATTATATTTCATTAAGTGTTAATAACGCGGAGTTATAAAAAGTGCTAATAATAGGTAGGAGCTAATATTCACACCAGGAATTAAAATTAATTGCATTGCTCCTTTCTATATATCTCAAAACAGGGAAATGTTTTCATCATTTTATAATAAAATAAATTTAATTATAATATTTTCTATTTCTAAGCTAATTAATTTCTGGGACTACTTTTATTATTTGTAATCATTAATTCATAGACCTACTACACAGGTGAAATATGGGGTATAGCAATCCGAAAAGTAATTACTCTACCGCCTCTTGAAACCGAATTACTTTCAACCGAAAAAACAATATTGTAAATAACTTTCAACACCTTCATACAAACAGGCATGGTAACTGAACCAACCGTGGAAATGTGCCATTCAGTTCTGGTTTTATTTTGTGGTTTGGGCAATGCTATTTCATTCAAATATTCTATTTGGCTTTTGGTTTGGCAGAATACGGATAAAACTGAACCATTACCCTTTATGACTAACTCTGTATATACATAGTTGAGAAAACATCCACAAGTTGTCATTTTACGGTAACATTATCAATGATATGTGTCGCGTTGTCGCGATAACAACTTCAGTATACTATGAACTACAGGTAAACAACATAGCATTCGGTGCCTGTAGCATTTGTAAAGTCACAATATTAACACTTTAATACTTTATCACAATGACATTATTGACAACTCAATAATATTTCTACGCATTACCAATTTATTACTGTTTTGACAAGGTACATAGAGGCACGGCATACACTTGAAGTACAATACAATGTGTAGATACTTCATATATACGATTATTTTTGTGATAAAACCCTTTGATGTGCGGTGATTTGCCGACAACGCTTGAAATTGAATACGAGTACAGTCAAAAGATTCACGATAATTATAATAAATTGCTTAGAAGAGATAGTCTTAAAAATCTCACACGTAGTTAAGTTATAACCAGTAAACCTTATTAAATAGGACTTGTATTATTATGCTAAATAACTGATAGACATGGTTCAATATATAGTGTACACAGTTACGGAAGCAAAAGAATACTCATGAGCGCTTTGTTTGTATTTTATAGGATTTAAACTAGTAACCATTCGAAAATAAATGGGTACTTGAAACCTCTGCACCAGCACATCTTGTTAGCCAATTTAATGCGAACCAAATCATGCTCAATTTTCATTCAAAGTTATTAGGTTTTAAAAGAGATTTTAGTTTCTCTGTAACCTTTTTTTTTCCAACAAAAACTACAGCTTCAAACTTTTGACATCTTATTTCGTAAAAGCGCAAACAGCTACGAACACGCAAGTCATTCCGGAGGTATAGCCCCTATTTCAGACAACTGAACCAATCTATTTTAGTGGGAATGCATTTGTCTTCATCTTATCTGTTCATTCATACCGAACCATTAATAAATAAGGATATGTAATGAAAATGAATGGCTAAAAGTAGTACACATAATCAATCCACAAATATATGATATATGACAAGGTTACGATATGGAGTTGACTACAAAATACTATTTGTTCGTTCGTCTATTCAGTTCGTTTTTTCAAGGTAGAAAAAATTATCTATTTATTTCTTATACTTTATTTTTGTATTAGCTTACGTGACTATCAATGACTCCATTTATATTTTATAATATACCTATATACTTGCAGTTCGTTTCATCAGAGTTCAATAGGGCTACTATTATTATTATAATTTATGACTACAACGTTTAAAATTGACATTACCAATTAGATTAAGACTTTGTCAAAGCTACTCGTAACTGGACGAATTGCGCTGCATCTTAGTGTAATAAAACATACATAGACATACCAGATAAGTATGTATACTAATATCTTATTCTCAAGGGAATTATTTTTTGCAAACACAAGCAATAACTAAGGAAGTAAAATTAGGAGTTCTAAATAACTCACTTGCAACTTCTTCCACTGTATCCGACCGATGCATCTGTTAGCATTCCGCCATGCCAACTTAGCTCCGAACACTAATTCTGAAGTTTTCAGCTGGTAGGTTCCTTTTTTATCTAACTCTCGCTTTATTTCCTCCAGCCTTCCCGTATGTGCGGCAGAATTTTCTCTGAAAATTAAAAAGAATACAGTTTTTATTTTAAATAAGTCAATCAGAGAGAAAGCAGTAGGTTTAGGAGGCAGCTATTACCATATGCCAATTTCAAATGTCAACAAAATGTGGGTATATCAGGTATTCGTATTGTTGAGTCTAATAAGACTGACTCATATGTATAGGTATATACCTAATACATATGTGAAGTACAAATAATGTGAATATCACAAATATCATTCTAGACAATAAAAACTATTATCCTCTTTTAAAGTTGCTTGATTTTACTGTTTTTTTTTTGTTGAAATAAATGGTCTGTTTAATGATAATAGTTTATTGTCAGTAGTTTATTGCTAAGCTAATATTAAATAAATATGATAAGTATATATATAGTCATAACACATATTTGGACCATGATCACAAAGTTTGTTTTAGTAATATTAAATTCAAATTATAAATTTTTGACCAATTATTAGATAAGTTGATTATTATTATTTATTTGTATTATATAATCTTTGTTCAAGTACATATTTTTTTAATAATAATTTAATTAATGAATATTATTTACCTTCGTATAGAGGCGTAGTATTGTTTGAGAAACAATTCGGCATCGCTGAACACCTCTTCAACTGTCCTAGGAGTATCCCCACGGTTCGGGATGTCCATTATACTTGACTGGCACACCTTCTCTGAGCATTTTGTATTCTGTGAAAGAATTAATTAATTATTATAATTCACCTATAATATTATCATAAATATCATTCGAAGTATTAAATTTAAATTTCTAATTTTAATTTATTATTATATTAATAATAATGATTCTATATCTATTATTTATACTACTATTTTAGTTTACACAGTATACAATTTTATTTTAGTAATTATATATATTTGAATGTTTTATAGTTTCATACTACGACTTTGATACGACTTCCTATCTATAAATAGTAGGTAAAAGTACCTACTATTTATTCGATAAATAGGATAAGACGAATGAAGTCGTATCAAAGTCGTAGTATGAAACTATAAAACATTCAAATATATATAATTACTAAAAAAAAAAAAAAGTTTCAACAAAATTGCACAAATGGTTTGAGAACGCATATAAACATGCAAAATTATTTATTTATAGATTCAGTTTGATTCATATTCTTCAATTTAATTATCTTTTTAAACTCCAAACGCTTGCAACGATAAATTCGTAAATACTTTATAAATGGAAAACGATTCTTAAGATATACATAGAACAAATAAAATTAATTGATATTTTATTTTCCTTAACAAAGGTACGCCTGTGTACCTGCAACACGAAACTGGGATAAAAACCATTAACGGTAACACCAATTTTGCAACAAAATTCAATATGAAATGTTAAACTCTTAAAAATGTGTGTGAATCATCAAACAAACAAAATTATTAATTAATAATTATACTGCTAGGTCAGACCACTTAAAATATATTTCAATTTTAAAGTATTGTGAAGGTTTACTCAAAACTTAATTAATTACTTAACTTAGTTAAAATTTATATGGGACCACACCATCTTCATATTATTTTAAAAATAATTCCACGTAAAAAGAAATACAGCCAAATAGAAATATTACTGCTTTTTTTAAATTGTTTGAAAAGGAATTTGACGGTGACAAAATTAATATATAGAAATGTATTTCCGTCCTATTTGCCTTGGTCACGGCATCTCTCGTGAAAGGCTGGACTGACTCTTTATACTTCCGACCGATTTCACTAATTATGAAAAAAAAATAAGAAAGTTGAAAATTAGAAACGTTAATATGGTTGGTAAGTTTTCTTTAATGCTGATTATGTGATACGTGTATGATACGCAGAGTCAATATTCATAAGTCAGCTATATCAATAAAATAATGACTTTCTCAATTTTTTGCTCTATTTTTTTCGTATACAAACAATGCGGCAAAAAATTGAGATATCGACTTACTCGATTTTCAGAAAGAGCTAGAGTGATCTTATATTGATAAATATTTATAGTTGTAGAAGCAATAACAATATATGTCTACTACCTTAATAGCTTACTAAAGCGTAAACATAACAGGCTAATATTTTAAGTACCGCGTACCTATCGGCTCAAATAGTAATCTAGTATTTATAACAGAGATGAAACTAGATTAGTCAATTAGAGCTTTATTGCCTATCTAGCAAGTCCTTTGATATTCTGCCAAATGACAGATCGTATCTGAAACGCTTACTGGATACAGATAACGTGTAGATTACTTAATCTATCGTGCTTCTAACATATAACCCGTCTGAACTCTACATGTGGTTATGAATGATAATGTTCATTGAATATTCAGCAAAATCAAAGACTAACAGTCTTTGATTTTGCTGAATTAATTATCAATAATGATTTATATCTTATATATTTTTATACATTAAATTTATTTTTTGCATCTGTCTATTTAGAATATCTATGCAGTAAGCATAGATATTGTGAATAGACAGATGCAAATAACAAATCCGTTGTGTTCTTCTCCTAAGAAACTTCTACTGAACCTTCTCGAATTAATAAGAGAAGAAAATAAGGCAGATTGCTTTTAGTAATAAGGTATTTATTTGTTAAACACATTTTTACAAGATATCAAAAATATACAAAAACTTCTGAAAGAACTAGTACTTACTAGTACAAAATAAACTCTACATGAGTTTTATTTTTATTGTAATTATTATGAGCATCCGAATATTTTTTATAACTTACCAGAATTAAAAACATTATTATTAATATCGCGTATATTCTTGAATTGAAGATCACGCTTTCTAGGCAAATGGTTGTTTAATATATTAATTTGCAATTTACATTCTTGTACATATCTTATTATTTGTTCTACCAGTTGTATCATATGGTATCCCAGGTACAAAACAGAACGCTGATATTTTTTTATCTTAAATAGAAATGATATCTATACATATCATTAAATGGAATAGATATACCGACATATAAATAATTTGAAATAAATAAATAATGAATGCACAATCGTTCATCTACAGCATCATTCATCTCAAAGACTCCGATATAGATCCAAAGATTACCTAACCCACTAACGATGTGTCATAGTAAGTTAAAAGTCACCAAAAATGTTCCTTTAGTTGATGTCATCGTGTACTTTTTTGTTCGTTAATGAATTAAGAATATTTCAATGTGTGTTTAGATCGATAGTGCCATTTCGAGAACGCATGGTGAACTTAAACACTACTGGAATATACATCTAGAATCATTAAACTAATCTATATATATATTTGGTTGGTATTAAATAATATATATATATATATTATTTAATACAAACTAAAATAATTATTGTTATGATTAAAATATTGTATATTTATCTATACTTTTGATCGCACCATATTTCCTAAATAACTTAACAGATTTAGATGCAGTTTGTGTATTGTGGTAGAATTGTACGCGTATGAATCGCGGGCTAAGAATAGTATATAAAAAGGTAATGGTTTAAATGTAAATTACATATGTCTAACGAAATTATGCAAAACAGAAAAGAACATATACGTTATTCACAGGTTTGTTTTTGATGATTTGATCAAATAATTTGGCAGTATTATTAATTTACAGTTACTTAAAATCAAAAATAATTTATTCATGTATGAACGTCAAGCTTTTTGTATTAATATTTTTTTCTGTACCGAGTTTCAAATAAATACTGTATTCATAGCAGTTGCTATGAATACAATTGCAAGCAACGTTGTATGTAATGTTACTATTAGAAGTCGTTACTATTATGTACTCTGTATAAATAGTTTTCTGATAGCCAGAATTTAAACAATAATTAGTAATGTATATTGACCAATTTGCTAGACCTTCACTTGCGGTCAAATCAATATTCTGCCTATTGTATTCAATATAATGTTACACATTGTATTGATATATAACATGGCGATTACAATCATTATATGAGAATATTATGTTCTTATTAGTGATTTAAGCTACATATTTGTTATGTACATAATACGAAACAAAATTTATATACATATCATACGTACATTTTGTGGTTGGTTTATTTATAGTAAAAAAATGTACAGTTATAAATGTAATATTTATAATATTATTACATATAAATAAACTGATTTCCATATACCTATAATGTCAAGTTGTACATAACAATCTCAATGGTATACAGTCATGAGGTACGGTCACCCCCGGTCACGTTGGATTCAAATACTGTCATCGAAATGTAGACATGTCAAGTGTCACGTCCACCACAACATGACACACACACCACCACACATGACAGTTGATGAATCCCATAGGTATATATATATATATATATATATATATATATATATATATATATATATATATATGAAAAAGGTTGTAATGTATGGACTCCATTTTTCGTACTCAGCTTCTTATCTGGGCCGTTGTATGTATAGAGCCGAACTAATAAAGTAACCAGTCAAGCTCCTTCCCAAAACTCAAGCGCAGAACTTTCCTAGTGTCTTCGCAGGCTTCACAGAGCGACCTCACCATTCCGAGGATTTGGTTTCGTTGTGTGGCCACTGCTACGCACTCCAAGGTTACTTTAGCAGCAGTTTCTTCGGCTTCAAAATAGCCCCGACAAAGGGGACTGCCTGTAGCATCGTATACCGTGTATAGTTGTTTTTTAAGGGACAGTGGCCCGTTATTGTACCTATTATTATTATGAGATTTTCCTATTTAGATTCGGTAGGTGTTTTGTCAATCGATGGTTATGAAAAAGGTTAACGTACAACATTTCTAACTGGCAGGATGCATACCCGCATATCTTTTCTTTCTATCTGGACTGATTACATTTGAACTACGATTGCAAATATTAATGGAAATATTTTTAAAATTAATGTCCCTATGGTTTAGCACATAACCTTACATCAGGTCGCGGGTTCGATTCTCTGACGATATTAAATACATAATATTGTAGCTTTCCTAAAATAACGTATTATATTATTGCTGTCTTTTGTTTAGTATCCATAGTACAAGCTCTTGTTACCACATAGCCTATATTTTTTTCTATATAATTGTAATTCGTTTTTATTATTAAGGCTTAATATAAAACTTAGATAAGTATGTAGTTTGAGAATATATATGGTAATAGTCCGGTTTCGGTTCTATTTTTACGAGTTTTATTTATCCTGCTTCGTACACATTGATATTTTTCCGGTTCGTCCGCATCTCGCATTCAGTCCATTTTTAAAACACTGGCCAATATTATAATCAAAGTTTTCGTCTACCTAAATATGCACATCGAATGGTAATAAAAAGTGTTTTTCGATAATGAAGCCATTAGAAAACGATAGAAATATGAGCTCATTTCATTTACTTTACTCCAGTTTATATAACTAATATTTAAATTTATCGTTGTTAGTTTGCATTTTTCATTTATTATATATTACAACAGCACATTTTCAAGCGTTGCATTATAAAATAAACATTCTTGTCATTGTCATTATCGACCTTATCTAAGCGCAGTAAAAGCTTTTTGTCATAATTTCGTTGACACAACGCGTCGCACTCCCCCATGTACATATGACCGCATGCGATAAGACCAATTAACGTGGAAACTCCATAATTTATGAGAAACACGCGCATTTTACATGTTATCACAAGTACATATAGCTATAGATATTTATAATAAGAAATATTTTAAAATAGAACGTGATTATTATAAAGTCTGAATATTCTGATG